GCCTTTGAATGTTCCCTTTCAAAAATGGAGTAGACTTAAACACAAAGTATTAAAGAAGCAACAGTGTGAGTGGGGTGTGGTGGCTCACACCTGTAATCCCAGCACTGTGGGAGGCCAAGGTTGGCAGACCTAGCTGCTTGGGGGGCTGAGGCAGAAGGATCGCTTGAGCACAGGACGTCAAGGCTGTAGGGAGCCCCTGTGTTGCTGCACAACAAAGTATTATTTCACCATTAAAAACAATTTGGAAAACTGCATGTGACTTGTAAAAATCCTTGCAGTTGAAAATGGGAAAATGTATATTATGTTAACAAGAAGTGGGATAAAATTTTGGGAAATGAAGATCATCATAAGGTGGAGGGAACAATTACTATACAGAAAATCTCTTTTTTTTTTTTTTTTTTTTTGAGATGTAGCTCTGCTTCACCACCCAGGCGGGCGTACAGTTTCACAATATCCCAGGTTCAAGTGACTGTCCTGCCTTAGCCTCCCAAGTAGCTGGGATTATAGGCACCCACCACCATGCCCAGCTGATTTTTGTATTTTTAGTAGAGATGGGGTTTCACAGTGTTAGGCTGATTTCAAACTCCTAACCTCAGATGATCCACCTGCCTTGGCCTCCCAAAGTGCTAGGATTACAGGCGTGAGCCACCATGCCTGGCCACAAGATCTCTTTAAAACTAGTGACTTTGTTCATGTTGAAAAAGCACTGGGGGGGGAAAAAAAAAAACTAGTGACTTTGATTACTTGGGAGATACTTTTGGTTAACTTTGGTTAAGGGCCCAACTTTGGTGGTGGCCAGCTAAATTTGAGTCCTTGTTCTGCTTCAGTGCCATCTATGACCTTAGATGACCTCCAGCATGATAGCTAGCCAAACTGAGATGATTACTAATTCATGCTTAAGCTGAGGAGTTAAAATGTACCTGAGAGCACTGTTAACGCTGGCTCAACAAGAGGGATCTAATAAGACACCTAAGGAGGTTTCTTGGCCTCTGGGGTGGAGACTTTCTCTCCTTAAGGCCAGAGCCATCAGATGGAAGGTTGTTTCATGGCAGCCTGGAATTCTGTGTTTGAACCTCCCTTGAGCCTGTGCCATGTGCAAGAGGTAAACCGTGAGGGAGTTTCCTTAGGCTTCTGTATTGTCTGATCTTGTGGACTCAGGACTAAACATTCACATTCTCATTGGGCTGAGGCTCAAACACATGAACGTGTTATTTGCGGTGTCTACACTAGGGAAATCAAGCAGGGCATTGGTGATGGAAGGAAGTGATCAGGAACCAGGTAGGATGATGGTAAGTGGACAGGACTTAAAAGTCCAGGGCTCCTGGCAGTCTGCTCAAATCTATGTTTTAGCCCATGTTTCTCCACCTAGTCTTTTCCTTTTTATTTTTTGGCAGGGATTGGAGGGAGAGGAGTGGTGGCTGCGGGCCTCTTAGCATTACTTAATTTCCTCCCAGCCATTTTCACCTAGATGCCCTGGAGGCACCTCCGCTTTCTCACTTGCCTCCACACTAGCTTTGTGTGGACTGTCCAGTTCATTTGCCTAGCACTGCCATTCTTCGCTTTCACCTCCGCATCCAGGCCCTTCGGTGCTCCCAACCTTTTTCTGCCTCATCCCTTCCTCAGTGCCACTGACTCCTGCCTAAATGCAGCCTCTTCTATCAGTTTAATCATTGCACCAGCCTCCCAGTTGCTATCTCTGTCTTTAATCTTCCCTTGCATAGAATCCTTTGTGAAGTTTCCTTTAGAAAATAAGGTCAAGCTGGGCAGGGTGCCTCACTCCTATAACACTTTAACACCAACACTTTGGGAGCCTCAAGTAGGAGGATCACTTGAGCCCAGGAGTTCTAGACCAGCCTGAGCAACATAGTGAGACCTCATCTCTACAAAAAAATTTAAAAATTAGTGGAGTATGGTGGGACATGCCTGTAGCCCTAGTTACTCAGAAGGCCGAGGTGGGAGGATCATGATTCAGAGGTCAAGGCTATAGTTTGCTGTGATCACGGCCGTGCACTCCAGCCTGTGCAACAGAGCAAGGCCCTGTTTTCAACAAAAAAAAAACGAAGGTCAAATTTCTTAGTCTGGCACACAAGACTTTGCAAACTCATTTCCATCCACCATCTCAACCAAAACACATTGTCTTGATTCTCCCCTGCCCACTGAAGAGCTGATCACTTTTCTCCTTGGAACTCTATTCTCTTATAGTGACATAACATGTCATGAGTGTGGCCTGTGTCTAGTGACCCATGTCCACAGTCCTAGCTCAGTGGCCACCTCCATCCACGTACCCAGCCAGCACCTACATGGATGGATGCATGACTATGAATATCATGTATTCCTCCCTGTGTAGTTTTAGAAAAGATCATTTTATGTCAGCTCTGTCCTTTCTTAGAAATGCTGTGGGGTGGGAGGGAAAAGATTTCTCGGCCAGTTGATTTTACTGTCACTTTCTTCTAGAAGAAGCTGTGAATAAGGTGAAAATTCAGGCCATGTCAGAAGTACAGAAGGCTGTCGCTGAAGCAGAGCAGAAAGCCTTTGAAGTGATTGCAACAGAGAGAGCACGAATGGAGCAAACCATAGCGGACGTCAAGCGACAGGCCGCGGAGGACGCTTTCCTCGTCATCAACGAGCAAGAGGAGTCCACAGAGGTCAGAGCTCTGTTAGCGCTAGGGGCCGGGGCAGGCAGCTGGAGTGACCACGCCCGCTGCCCTATACGCTGAGCAGGAAGACACAGGCAGTCTGTTCTTGAGCTCGAAGATGATAATTTTTATCCAGTGCCAGAAGAGTTTTGGTTCTCACATTAAGACTATTTTACGTGCCAAGATAATAAATTATTACATCATATTTTTACACACATACACATGTATATAGAGAGAAAGGCTCAGTGTATTGGTTAAAATTTTGGGAATTCACCCTAAAGACAGAGTTTGTGTAATTGCACAATGATGATGATGACCAGCATTGACAAAGTTAGCTTACTGTGTGCCAGACACACAGCGAAGTTGCATATTTTCTTTTTGAGTGTCACATTGGCCCTATGAGGTGGATAATGTTGAATCTCTAACTCACAGATGAGGAGACTGTGGCTCAGGGCATGTAACTGATATACTCCCTCAGTGCTGAAGTCAGGGTAGAGGAGTAAGAAAGTGCAGGGTCCTTTAGCATCTAGAATTTTTAGAAATAGGATAGCTGGCTTGTGGACTGAAGTAACAGGTTGGGTATATCTGCCTGATTGCCCAGGACTCAGGGCCCAGGACTTGGTGATGATTCTATACAGGACACTTGGATACTGCAGTGAGAAAAATCACAAACCGAAACGAAGAAACTTGTACCAAAACATTCAAGCAGCCCTTTCAAATTTAATGCCGTTTTTCTATAACTTTCATTTTAGTCATTTTTTAGCTTTAAAACAAGAAACAAGTTTCTTTCTGTAAGTAGGTAGATCTCATCTACTGGATGGGAGACCGGCTGTCTTTGGGACATTCTCTTGAAGTTAAGAACTCACTCTTAACCCAGGGTGGAGTGCAGTGGTGCAGTCTCGGCCCACTGCAGCCTCCACCTCTGGGTTCAAGTGATTTTCCCACCTCAGCCTCCTGAGTAGTTGGGACTATAGGTGTGTGCCACCATGCCCTGCTCATTTTCATATTTTTAGTAGAGATGGGTTTTTGCCATGTTGGCCAGGCTGGTCTCGAACTCCTGCCCTGAAGTGATCTACCCGCCTTGGACTCCCAAAGTGCTGGGATTATAGAAGGACTTTTTCTTTTAAACAAACCGTAGAAATGTTATTTTCTTGTCATTTATATTGTTCATTTCAGTGTCTTACTGTCAGGCATAGCAGTGTGCAGATGAAAATGCCTAAATACCATGTGGGGATCACCGAGGGTGTGGTGAAATAACTTACTATAGCTATTCAATATAGATACTGTGGGTTGTGAGAAAACAGTCTCTTGCTTATAGAAAATATGAATTTAAAAAAAGAGAGAAAACAGTCTATTTAACCCCCTCCCTTTTCCTTCTCTCCTTTTTCTCTTTTTTTCTTTTCTTTCTTTTTTTTTTTTTTTTTTTTTTTTTTTTTTTTTTTTTTTTTTTTTTTTGAGACAGAGTTTCGCTCTTGTTACCCAGGCTGGAGTGCAATGGCATGATCTCAGCTCACCGCAACCTCCGTCTCCTGGGTTCAAGCAAATCTCCTGCCTCAGCCTCCTGAGTAGCTGGGACTATAGGCGTGCGCCAGCTAATTTTTGTATTTTTAGTAGAGACGGGGTTTCACCATGTTTGCCAGGATGGTCTCGATCTCTTGACCTTGTGATCCACCCATCTTGGCCTCCCAAAGTGCTGGGATTATAGGCGTGAGCCACCACGCCTGGCCTCCTCCTCCTTTTTCTTTAGAATTTTTTTTGAGGCTGGGTGCAGTGGCCGATGCCTGTAATCCCAGCACTTTGGGAAGCCAAGGTAGTAAGAACACTTGAGCTCAGGAGTTAAAGACCAGCCTGGGCTAGATGGCGAGACTCCATTTCTGCAGTTGGCTGGGCATGGTGTCACACATCTATAGTCCAGCTACTTTGGAGGCTGAGACAGGAGGATTGCTTGAGCCCAAGAGGTTCAAGGCTACCATGATCGTAACACTGCACTCCAGCCTGTGTGAGAGAGCAAGCCTCTATCTCTTAAAAAAAGAAGAAGAAGAAAAAAAAAAAAGGTGACGATGGCAAGATGAGGGGGGGAAGAAAAGAGAATTGTGGCCGGGCGCTGTGACTCACGCCTGTAATCCTAGTACTTTGGGAAGCCGAGGTGGTTGGATCACCTGAGGTCTGGAGTTCAAGAAAAGAGAATTGTGCCAGGCACGGTGGCTCACACCTGTAATCCCAGCATTTTGAGAGGCTGAGGCGGCCGGATCACCTGAGGTCAGGAGTTCAAGACCAGCCTAGTCCCGCATCTCTACTAAAAGTAAAAAATTAGCCATGTGTCCCAGCTACTCGGGAGGCTGAGGTAGGACAACCACTTGAACCCAGGAGGTGGAGGTTGCAGTGAGCCAAGATCATACCATTGCATTCCATCATGGGCAACAAGAATGAAACTGCCTCAGATAAAAAAGAGAATTGTTTTTGAGAGTGATATATCTGTTCTCTTCTGTGTTTAATTATGTATCTATAGCCATCCATATCAGTATCTGTATTTGTCTGTATTTATCTACTTTTATCTCTGTGTTTTTATCTGTCTCCAGAGGAAAAGTATAGCTTTTGGCTAAGAGCATATACATCCTGGGTCTGGACTGCGTAGCTTTAAATCCCAGCTCTCCATTTTCAGAATTGTGCTTTTAAAGAATTGTAATTTTAAACAAGCCTCAAAATGGCCTCCAGGTGAGGTGCACACCAGCACCTATCCCTGCAAAATCACTTTTCAAAGCAGGGAAGGACAGAGAGCCTGTCCTTTGGATGAGTTTGCATTGGACTAAAAGGGCCGATTCTCGTCCATCAAGAATATTCATCAGAATATTCTCATTGAAATTTAGCAGGTATCCCTGGAGTTTCTTGTTCATCTTCTGAAAGGTAGTTTGGTATGGGGGAAGAAGGAGGCCAGGACTGGAGGTTACGAGCCCTGACTTCTGGTCCCACTTCCCTCTCACACTGGCAGTATGCTCTTAAAGGAGTCAGTCTCCATCTCTGTTTAATGAGTATAGCAGCTCCTATCCTATTGGTCTGATAATTACTAGGGAACAGGCACAGTAGCCCTTGCCTGTAATTTCAGCTCTTTAAGAGGCCAAGGTGGGACGGTCCTTGGAGGCCAGGAGTTCAAGACCAGCCTGGGCAACATAAGGAGACCCTGTCTATACAAAAAATTAAAGAATTAGCTAGGCATGGTGGCACACGCCTATAGTCCCAGCTACTCAGGAGGCTAAGGTGGGAGTGTGGGAGGATCTCTAGAACCCAGATCAAGTCCAGCCTGCGCAACAATAGCAAGACCCTTTCTCCAAAAGAAAGAAAAAAAAAACAGCAGCAGTAGCTTTGGTTAAGTCAGATTATCAGTAAAAATAATGAAGATTATTTCTCTAGTGAGAGGTGCAGTATCAGGCAGGTGCCTGTAATCCCAGTACTTTGGGAGGCTGAGATGGGCAGATCACTTAGGCCCAGGAGTTCAAGACCAGCATGGCCAACATGGCAAAACCCCATCTCTAGTAAATATATATTTTATATATATAAAAATACAAAAATTAGCCAGGCGTGGTGGCACATGCAGAAAGGAGCAGGATAAATGTTTGTCTTAACACGTGGTCTTAGGATAGATGGCTATTGGGGGAGACCCTGGCACAGAATTTGGTTTGGTTTCTGACTATTAAAATCTGGGTCAAAAGATGAGTCTATGCCTTAAGCAGAAGAGATGGCTACCTGTCCTAGGCATGCTTCATTTCACTGTTCCTGTCATCCTGCAGGTAAGTAGTTTTCTTATTTTACAAATGAAGGAAACTCAGAAAGGTGGTGTGTATTTCTCATAAACAGCAGTAGAGGGAGGACTTGACCACAGGTGTATGTAGCTCCAAAGCTGGGGTTCTCTACATGCAGCCCCTTGCTTTACTGTGCAGGGGATGAATGCCAAGCCTGCCCCTCAATCCCAGCAACCACTAACTGGTGCCTGTGTCTTGCAGAACTGCTGGAACTGTGGCCGCAAAGCCAGCGAGACATGCAGTGGCTGCAATATCGCACGATACTGCGGCTCTTTCTGCCAGCACAAGGACTGGGAGCGGCACCACCGCCTCTGTGGTCAGAACCTGCATGGCCAGAGCCCCCACGGCCAGGGCCGGCCGCTGCTTCCTGTAGGCAGGGGCTCCTCTGCCAGGTCCGCCGACTGCAGTGTGCCCAGCCCAGCCCTGGACAAGACCTCGGCAACCACCTCACGTTCCTCAACACCTGCCTCCGTGACAGCCATCGACACCAACGGCCTCTGAGCCCCAGACTCTAGTTACCCTGATGGCCACTCAGTACCACAGAACGTTTGGACCAAGGGACTGGCTGTAGGAACCCATGCATGTAGCTGCTGGGTCATCAGCAAGAATTGGAGGCAGGAAGAGTTCAAGCCTGAATAATAGCACCCACAGCCTCTCTGGGCACTTGCCGTCTGTGGAGCCAGTGTGCCATTCTCTGCACATGCCCGGCCCCACTGCCACCTCCATGGCTTTCCTGGTTGTTCCTCTCCCCACTGAAGCTGGCTTAGCCAGTTCCTTCTCAGTGTAGACCACCAGCTCCCCTCCCCATCTCCTTGAGTCAGCAGACTTTTGAATGTGCCCAGCTAGGCTGGAGGTGGCAGGCAGCAGGCTGGTGGAGGAAGCCCCTCGGATAGGGAGAAGCCCCCTCACCCTGAACAGCTCCTTCAGCCCCATCTCCACCCTCAGCAGATGACACTGGTTGGCCTCATGGGGACTTGGGTAAGCAACAGGCGGCACTCAGGACTCCCTTCTCAACCCTGCTGTTAGACTGGCTCCGATCTCAGAGTCCACAGGAAAGATGTCACTGTTGCAATAAAAGCACCCATAGTAGCAAAAACATAAACAAATAAAACTTCCCGCACATCACAGATGATTTTGGACAAGCTTTTCCAACCTTACTGGCTACTTTAATTTGGGACCCGTCTTTTTCTCTTGATTTTGCTTGTGCAGAAAATAGTTTCCAGCGCATGGATTGGTCTGAGAGAGAATGAGACTCAGTTGTGGATAGTCTGTTCTCTCTGAGCATGTTGGCCAAACTAGTATCGTCAAATTACTGAGTGGATCATCTCATGGAAATACAGACCTTCTCCCACCACTTGGCTGTTTGCACAGTCGTCTTGTTATGTGTCCTTTTATCTCAGACCACACACATCTGGACTGCTGTGGGCATCTTCTGTCCGTGGGCTCTATTTGGCACCTGCTGAGCCACAGTTGTCCTGCTGGATGTGCCGTGGCAGGTTGGTAGGACTCGTCCCCGCTGTCAAGGCCTGGTCTCATCTGAGCAGCCCTTCTGGACCTGAAAGAATTCTTCAAACCTCATCATTTCAGGTCATTACACCTACTAAGTGGATTTATTATCAGGCACGAAATTTCTGTTTCCTTCTCTTGTATTATCCGACAGCTCATCAGAAAGGTTTCATGAAATAGAACCATTTTGGGAAAAGCTGACCAATTTTTCAAACGGGACATCACCTATTCTCTTTTCAGACTGTTAGGAACTGCCTCCCACATTTCTTTTGGTTTTTTTGGTTTGTTTTTTTTTCCGACCAAGTCCCGCTCTGTCACAGTGCAGTGGCACACAGTGCAGTGGCACGACATTGGCTAACTGCAACCTCCACCTCCCAGGTTCAAGCCATTCTCCTGCCTCAGCCTCCCGAGTAGCTGGGATTACAGGTGCCCGCCACCACACCCAGCTAATTTTTGTATTTTTAGTAGAGAAGGGGTTTCATCATGTTGGCCAGGCTGGTCTCCTGGCCTGTCTTTTGGGGTTTTGATGGGAGTCTTGAGGACCCCGACCCTCCTGCTCTCCACCTTCGAGCCTCCAGCATCCTCTCACACCCAAGAATCAGTTGGATTAAGTTTGATTGGCCCTTTTCCAGCTGGCCTTTGAAACACAGGTTGAATCTCCACCTTCTGTGCACTGACCAGAGTCTAAAATAAAAGCTGTCAGTACCATAGAGGACAAGGGATCCACACAGCCTTGTTGCATACAGCTACATCTTACTTTAAGAATGTTAAGTCCCTAATTTACTGTAACCAAGCATTTTCAGTCTTACAAAGAAACCTAGTACATGACACCTTTAAAATGCCTAGATTTCCATTGCCTAAAGTGAGGTATGACCAGGGAATGAAACGCAGAGGATCATGTTACTTTGCTGTGGAACACACAGGACCCACAGTTGTCCAGTCCTAATACATTGGTATTCTCCCATCCCCACCTGCCTCATTAAGCCTCAGCCCTTGGTGGAGAACCCTGACTAGGGGATGGAGTAAGTACCCCGGACAGTGCCGTATTTCCCTAAGACTTGGCTGTCTGTCAAGGAGGTCATAAGGCCTCTACACCAACTTACTGGTTTTTCATGGATTCATTGAATGAACACCTTAAGCCGGTTTTAAAAATCTCCAGTGGCCATAAACCTACCCAGGGTAGCGCATGCTTTTACTGGTTGGAATAAGAAGCCAAAAGCCAACAAAATAATATTTAGCAACCCCAGTGCCCATTTCTACAGCTAAGGTGTAGGTTTGGTGTGCAGAGCCTGGCCTACTTTAGTGGACTGTGGTTCCTGTGACAGTTTGGTTTTCTAAGTCTTTGTAATGCTTTTCCATCTTGCTCCTGTGCTGCCCAGAGGCTGATCTGCAAACCCGGGCAGTATTCCACACTGAAGCTCCACTGATAAACCTTTGGCTGTGTTAATTCTGGTCAGTTTCACACAGAAGTAATGAGGGCCTCTGTCCAGGACTCCCTATTCACATTTCAGGAATCCCTTTCTGAAATTCTTCAACTCTGGTCAGGAGGAGGAGCACCAGTGGAGCAGTGCAGGCAGCTAGAGGTGCAGGAGCGAGTCCAGGTTCCTTGCGTGGTTTCCAGCCTCTGCTGACAGCACCTCAGCTACCAGGTTGGGAGTGGAAGTTCAGGCTACTTAGAGAACTGACCTCCATGGTTAATATTTGCAGCGGCAAAAGGCAGAGAGGGGCTGGACCGAAAAGCAAATGCGACATATGAATGGCCATCAGCCAGACATGTCTAGGATGAGACCAGTGCTTAGCGTATCCCACCAACGGCACTGATGTGTTCTGGGACATCACGGTCTCCTGCCAAGTGAGGAATTACGGCAGGAACCAGAGAAGACCAAAGATGCCAAATGTCCCAAGTTTTTTGAGGGCTGGGTTTCACATCTTTGATTTTTTTTTTTTTTTTTTTTTTTTTT